CTCCCCACACCACCCCCAGTTTTGCCACTCTCCACATATTACCCCGCCTCCAAACAGGGAATGCATCCTCAGCTCGCTGCGCGTCCGCCCCTCGTGTCCCGAGTGCAAGGCTCCCGCCCACCGCCGCGACGTCGGGGAGGACCCAAAAATGGACCGCATAGCGCAGCACTACTTTGACCTGGAGTCGCTGCTGGCGCCTTCAAACATGTTGTGCACGCAGCTGCAGATGGACGCGGCGCCAGAGCAGCTGCTCGTTGAGCAGCTGCCCGCAGAGCAGCTGCCCGCGGGGAAGCAAGACAAGTGGCGTGCAGCGGAAGAGGGGGGGCGGGCGGGGGCCGATGACACGGCGAGTGAGGGCGGGTACGCAGGCGACGCGGCCGCGAGCGGCGCGCTCGAGCGGCCTGCAGAAGGCGAGGGGGGAGGGAAGAAACAGCAGGAGGCCAAGGAGGCAGGGGATGAGAAGCAGCTGGTGCGCCCGCCACAGCAGCCGAGGCAGCGCGGCCGCGCGGCCGCAAGGCAGTCACAGGCCAGGAAGCGAGGCGCGGGCGGGGCGGGGCAGCAGCAGCAGCAGCAGCCGGAACAGGTGGAGGAGGGCGAAGGCGTGGAGCAGGCTGCGTTGGGGGATGTCAAGGCGACGGCAGACGCAGAGACACCCCGAAAAGGGCGGGCGGCAGCGGCAGCAGGCGGCAAGTCTAAAGCAAAGGGCAGGAGCAGGAGCAGGGCTGCGCGCGGCGCCGCAGCAGGCGGGGAGAGCGGACGTTCGACAGACCCTGCCGTGGCCGTTGGGCCCGATCAGCAGGAAGGGCCTGGGGCCGCCGCGCCCGAGCCGGCCAGCGGCGAACGCGGCGACGTGGCAGCTGACGAGGCGGGCGCCATGGATGGCTCCGGACCGCCTGCGGTGGGGCGGCGGCCGCCGACCCAGGACGACAGCCCCATCCCTGCATGGCTGGCGGGCTCGCAGCCTGACGCGCTCGCCGCCGCCATGCGGCCGGCCCCGCCCGTCGCACCCAACGACAAGCACATTGCGGCGGCCGCGGCGACCGAGGATGCGGCCGCAGCGCCCGTGGCGGCGGGGCGGCCGCGGCGCCAGCAGACGGCGGACGTTAGCCTGGAAGAGCCCCGGTTCTGCTGGCTGGCGGGCGCGCGGCCGGAAGACCTGCGGTCGGAATCCGGCACAGTCCCCGCACCCAGCAGCACGGCCACGGGCGCCGGCGCGGCTGCTGGCGCGGCTGGCGCCGCGCAGGCGCACACGACGGCGGCGCGGCCGCGGCGGCGGCAGTCGCTCGACGAGCCGTCCACGGCGGCGGGCGGGGCCGAGGGGTCCAGGCAGGGCCGCGCGGCGGCTGGAAGGGCGGCCGGCGGGACGGGCGCCGCGGCGGAGGGCGCCCCCGGCAAGCGCAAGCCGGGGGGCAACGGCGGCGGCGGCGCTGCAGGTGCGGTTTCGGTGCTGTGCTGCTGTGTTGAGGACCTGTTCATAGTAAGCAGCGCCGGCTGATTTGTCGTTTTAGGTGGATTGCTCCCACCCCTCCTTGAGGCCAGTGGACATGACCTCTTGTTGGGTCTACAGGATGAGTGCAAAACACGTCCCCCGCCTCTGCCAGGCTATTTTGACCGATGCAAGCAACATCAAGCAACAACCGCTCCCCCGTGTGGGCCCCCGCAGGCGCCGGCAAGAAGTCCAAGGCAGCAGATCCGCGCCAACGCACACTCCTGGCCTTTGTTGGCCGCACCGCGGGCGACGCCACTGCGGACGACGCCGACAGCGGCGACGAGGCAGGCCGTAGCGGCGGCGGCGGCGGCGGGGAGGGCGCCGGCGACGTCTGTGGCAGCGTTGGCGGCGGGGAAGGCGAAACGGGGGTCATGGCGGCGGCCAAGGCGCAGGGTGGGAGGGGCCGCAGGGCGGCTAAGGGCGCGATGC